ACATAACCGGCACACCGCCAAAACATGACCAGGACACCATCACAACAGGACCGGGACACCATCAAAACATGACCGGGACACCGTCACCACACGACCGGGACACCATCAAAACATGACCGGGACACCATCACAACATGACCGGGACACCATCAAAATTGGACCGGGACACCATCACAACATGACTGGGACACAATCAAAACATGATCGGGACACCATCACAACATGACCGCGCCACCATCACATGATCGGGACACAATCAAAACATGACCGGGACACCGTCACAACACGACCGGGACACCATCAAAACATGACCGGGACACCGTCACAACACGACCGGGACACCATCAAAACATGACCGGGACACCATCACAACATGACCGGGACACCATCAAAACATGACCGGGACACCATCAAAACAGGACCGGGACACCATCAAAACATGACCGGGACACCAGCATCACATGACCCGGACGCCATCAAAACATGACCGGGACACCATCCGCCCACCAGCTCTGACGGTGACCCGACGGCGCCCGTCCGCCTATTAGTTTTGCAAGACCCCATAGCATGGCTATTGGGGAAAAACCCTTTCCCCAAGCTATTTGCTACGATTTCCAACATGCAGGCACGACTTTAGCAGTTCTCTGTAGGAGGCTCATTCAGGTGGAACATACCAAAGTTATCAAATATTCGATCTCAATCAGGGAACCAAATGGCCTGGATGCAGCTTCGGAGTTGAGGCATCATCCTGCGAAGCACAGTGGTGAGACAGGCCGATCTCAAGTACTTCAAGTTTGCTTCACAACAGAGGTGACACCAAGAAAGCTCTACGATTCCAGGAACTTGGTCCTAAGTGTTCTTTGCGACCCTACAGTGAGGCCTTCATGAAAACCACTGGATAACCATGAAGATTTCAGGGATGTACTGGTTGAAGCTGGATTGTCAATCATGTGCCACGGAAAGCAGATGAAAAAAGTAATATTCTGAAATAAAGCAACTGGCAAGAGGGCTGAGAGCAACAAACAAACGAAGAAGCCACTGATGGCCAACTAATCCTAGTTCTGTCAATCTGGCCTTTGGAAAAGTATGTTCCACACCAAAACTTCCATCTGCAGTAAATCCTCTGTGACGTTTTTTCCTCCATGCCGCTCTGCGCCTCCTGACTGCTGCTCCTTTCAAATTTTGCTGGCTGTTGCAGATTCACGGATGGTGGGAGCGGCGTCAAGTACCTGGCCGGTGTTGCAGATTCGGTTGCAGCGTTTTTTTGACTCGCCGACGGACCAGCCATGTTCTGTCCGATTCGGAATCTTGAATAATCTTCTGGTTTTGCATGGTTCGAGTTCGAGGGAAATGCATTCTCATGCAGTTAGCTGCTGAGAAGTGAGCAGCAGCTCCAGGCTCCAAAGTCAAACCATCGAAAGCAAACCTAAAGAGTCTGCATTTATCACCCTGTCGCACGAAACCGGTCTCAACCATGTCCAGGGACACCCGGATGGGACCGACAAGAGCTTGTCCGTATCAATCGTCATCGCCATCTGTGGGCTGAGGGTCATGTTCAGCACCTCGGTGTTTCGGATTGAACACCCCTGCCTGCAGGGTATTCCTTGGAGTGCTTCAAACCTTCGTTACTCAAACGCAATGCAAACACCTGCCAAATACCTGGGTGGGTGTCTAGCCAAAGGATACTTCATCACAGAGACCCAGAGTACCCAGAGAAACGAATCAACATCAGCAGAACCTGAAACAGCTCAAGTGGACCATGACGAGGAACTATAGCACACATTGAAATGCTGCCATGTGCAACAACGACCAAAACAAATCGACGTGACGACAAGCGGCTTCTTCAACTGCTAATCCGCTACAGTAAGAGTGTTTGAACAGTACACAGAAAACTCAAGCTGTTCTTCTGAGAGGCTGTTTTCACCGCCGACTGCAGGCCAAGATGCGAATCAGGTCAAACAGCCTTCAGGATAGCTCCACAATCCCGAGATCCGAGAGATCAAAGGCTGCAGCATGTCCATCAAAATGAAAATGGATCAGAACTCAGCAGGAAAGCATGCTCCCTACGGGACCTTCAGGCACCAACTTTGCCTTCATCTAAATTGAATTAGAACACATCCTGAATTGCAATCAAAACCGCCCCTCCCATCCCAACCAAGCTCACTGCATGACCTGTGCAAACATCTGCCTGGTGCCAAGACCAAGACTTCTCCTCTCCCCTCCCTCACTTAGCTTTCTCAATCTCTCAGTCTATCAGCCTCTATCTATCTATCTATCTATCTATCTATCTATCTATCTATATCTCTATCTCTATCTCTATCTCTATCTCTCTCTCTCTCTCTCTTTGTTCTTCTCCACTCTCTTTCTCTATGAAACACACAACCACGTGGACCAAGAAGAATAGAAAAGTGCATAGATACATACCGTATATATGCATAGGGCACTTCGTACAAGCGCTTGTCCTGGAACTGTTTGAGCCAACAGTTTCTTGCCAATTCTTTCCACAACAGTTGTGAGAATTGCCATGAAAACACAGTCCTCACAAACATGATTCGACACTACACCAAGAAATAGTCTGGATGATGACATTCTTGAGCTAGTCATCACCCACACTTTTGTGCCAACCAAACTCAACCCGGAAAAATCTCTCTGCCAAGGGTTGAACTCGCATTGGGCTAGGAATTGTTTCAACCCTGGTCGTTGCAGGCCTTTGCCATCCGCCAAATCAGCATGACCCAACATGCATAAAGGCATAAATTCAGGCTTCTAGATGCATCCCAGCTGCTGTCACCACCAGTTTCCCAATCTCGCTCTTGTCTCCCACCCGCTACTGCCGCCCGCTGCGTCCAGGCGGCTGGATCTCCTTCTCCAGCGCGGCCAACTCGCCCACCACGGGCGCCAAAGCCTCAGACCGCCAAGGCAATGAGGCGAGACAGTCGGTGACTTGTTGTCGATAGGTCTAGCACAAACGGACAATTAGAAGTATTCAGGCGTAAGCCCCAAGCAAGCTGGTCTTTCTTTGCCGATCACAAAGATCACTCAGTCTAGCTACCAAGGCGCCTTATCACACCAACTTCAAAGCCGGCCTTCCTACGCAAACGAAGACGGCCGAAGACCGAAGACACACGGAAACAACCGGAGACATCGGACAAGAGGCGACCCAAACAACCCAGCACACCCGAGAAGGGCGGATTCAACCGGAGACACCGCAGAAGCAATCGACCCAAGCAGGCTGAAGACACTTGACAGCCGGCAACAGCCGGAAACACCACACACCGCATCTCATAACCGTCAAATGAGAAATGGGGGCGGACATGCTTCCAGCATGGAGGTGCACATTTAAAGCCGCGGCGATCACTTGGATCGAGCTGTAAAGGCACATGCAATCAAAACGGGAAAACGATCAGGCAAAATGCCTATCTCCACAACAACTGGAGGGAGAAAACACTGCGCAATCCTCACAATGCTAATGAGAACCCCAGTCTCTGGTCATCCCCGCATTGCTTCTCAGAAGGTCTGGTTCATCCACCTGCACGTTGAGGCGGCACATCAGCTGCCCTGGGTGAACTTCCGTACATCGAACCAGCGCTTTGCAGGTCTCTTGCGTGAAACGCCACCTGCTAGCTCAAAGTTCATGATCGTGAGGCGCGCGTGCACCGGCACACAACCCACAATGGAAAAGGGGTGTGGCATACCCCAAATCGCATGAGATGGTGCGATGATAAATTGGTGCTCAAACTGCTCAAAAAGGCCGGGACATGATCCTTCAACCAGTTCGGACATGATCCTCAAGGGTTGACCGCAAGGATAAAGACCACCTCCCATGGCTTCGTGAATGGCACCTCAAACTCCATTGCTAGGAACCCATCAGGTGGAAGCAAATCATAGAGGTGCTTTGCAGTGGGCCCTGAGCGCAGATCAGCCATGGCCTGAACCAACTTTGTAATGCTGCCAGGTCTGACATGCAACCCGCAGGAACCCCAGCGTTTCGTTGGCCAGCTGGGTAGCCAGGCTCTCCAGCTGCATATCACCCTGGGCTGAATTAGCAGCCCCAACGTAGCATGAGTTGGATAAGAAACCGGGTAAACCTGCTGGCGCCTCACCTCCTGCCTTACTTTGGATGGGTTTGAAGCGAAGGCCATCTTGCCCAGTTCCTCCAGCAAGCAGGTTTCAATGACTGAGCTTGGGTGTCCAGTCTGCCTACTCTGGCCTACGCGCATCATTCTTTGCAGCGTGGTGTAGCCATAGGGAGTTCTGAGTTGGTCCACCACTGTTGGTCAGAACGCCTCCAAAAATGTCTTGGAAGTCACCTATCATGTCTGCATCCTCCACGTCGATGCGTTCTGAAAGGAAAACCAAGTTCAGGCTCACTGGGCAGCAATCCACTGTTTCAAGAGATTTGACAAGAACGGCGAAGCCGTCGTTAAAAAAACTGACACCTTGTTGAACATGGGCTGAGGCAGCTTCACTCAACAAGGCACTCCATTTGGCGTCGGTCCAGTAGAACGCAATGGCGGATCCACTGCAGGCGCTGGCCGTCATGTTCCAGGAGTGCAATATGGAAATGGGCCCCGCATAGATGTCGCGATGTCTTGTCTGAATTGCCGAAACATCTGGCAGCGTTGGCAATTCTTCGAAGTGCAAGGACGGAGCAGTTTAAGCAAGCAAGCACGTATCAGCGGTATTTGCAACCCTGTCTCATGTCAGAAGCACCAGTCTTGCACAAACGCTTTCGTCAGGGGGGGAAGACTCCTCAAACACCTGGCGCAGCGCAAGGTCATCCAGACGGCTTACGAGAAAGAATTATTTGTTGCATACATGTGCCATGCCTTGTATGATGCTGTGTGAGAAGAGTCGTACTGCACCTTCAGACGCGCCTCTTTGAACTGGGGTTGCCACGGATCCTTCGAACGCAGGACATGTCCAAAGCAACAACTGCTTGCAACTTCTGCATAGCAACTTCTGCGCATGTCCGGCTCACCCCTATCTTCACATGCGCAGTACTCAGCTTCTCATACTCTTTACCTCACCAGATCCCAAGTAGAACGCAAACGCGCGAAACCTGCTAAGTTGGAGAGGCGCGTTCTGGATGGTTCGTCGGCTGGTTGCTGCCGATGGCACGCGCGAGCACCACAAAAACATGGAGCGAGCTGAAGCCAAATCGAAAAGGCTGGACAGCAGACTCGAATGCGTCACCACACTGCTACTCATGGAAATCAAGCTGGCACGATTTGCATGATTATTCTACAAAAATGAAGGATCGCTTCTCTTACATCCAATCAGTCAGTTGTTGCCAATGACGGCAGCTACAAGCTCCAAGGTGGCAATCACTCGAGCTTCCAATACCCACGCTGACTCTACTCTTTGACTCTCCGCAAATTGCAGCCGGCCCTAAAAAGGTGCTAGCATCAACCATGGAAAGGTGACGCGGTCAATGTCACCACAAACTTGCTCTACCCTTGACTCTTTGTTCTGGACCTTTATTCTTCCAGAAGCTGAAACTGTGTCAGCGAAGTCAAAGACAACGCCAAGTGCAGCAAAGGCCGTCTGCATTGGCTGTCTTTTCGCAGCTTTAACAGAGTAGCGCCAACCCAGAAGACTCAGCACACTTTCAGCACCAGGGAAAAGAAAGTATGAAGCGGTGTATCAATTCGGCTTGCAGACATGCCCTTCTCCCGGCACGCACAAGCACATCCATACAAACAATCTGCATTGATAGGCAGGACTGTCTTGCAGTCCGCTCGAGACAGGACCCACGCGTAGGACCCGGCTCAAGCTTGCAACGTTGAGGTTGCCTTCTTCCGAAAAAGGTCTTCTAAGAAGGTAGAGACGACCTTGCGCTCGTCGGACCCACAATTCAACAGCACGTGGCCTGCTAAAGTCAACTCTGGTTGAACAAGAAAAAGGTCGGCCCAATTCCTGAGCGCAGTCGCTCTCATGATGTCAGGTGTGGTTGAGTGCGCACAGCTAGCATCTTCAGCTTGACCTCGTCAGTCAGGAATCTCTCAGTCGCAGGCACTGCTCCCAACCTTCGAGGAACAGGAATAGGGTCCGACCAAGGATGCTACTGACAAACGGACTGCTACCCCATGGCATCAGAAGGCCAAAGCTAGTATCACCACTAGACATGGCCACATCTAATCATGACTCAACAAAAGCCAGAGAAGGGCGTGATCCTGACGAGACATCCACATCAACACACAAACATCCTGAAACCCCCTCTTTGACATGTTGGTGACTTCCACCAACACACCCACCCCACCTCACCCTCTTGAGCACAAGCCACGACGTTCGCAAGCTCACTTCACATTTGAGCAACAATGACCCATGATCAGGATCAATTGGGTTCATAGATCGACGCTGTAACAAACCCTTCTTCCATGAAAGGAAGGCTCAGCATCTCAGACGGCCGTGTCAGTCTGCACCATTCCAACTTGCATGCGGTGATTGAATTGGACTACGATAGTCACCTGCGCAAATCAAAAGGTCAGATGCCTAAAGGGAAGGGTTACCGAAAAGGATTCCCAAGCAACCGAGGATTTATAGTTTACAGTATCCCTCACTGCCTGGGTAGTCGACCAGGTGTATTGATAGCCATAGTTACGATGTCTATGGCATTTTGTATGGGGTGGCATCGGAGGTGCTGCAGCGAATGTGCTTCAGCATGAAAATGCTTCCAAATTGCAAGATTCAAGTAAGGCGTCTTTCGCATTGGATGAAGAAACTACTCGAGTATCTGCAAAGGTGCTCAAAATTCAAGGTTAGATGCTTTATACCACGTAAACGCTCTGCAACACGAGAAGAACCAAAAAAGAAAACAAATATGAATCTCACAGGCCAATTCAACAGTTTTTGTCTTTTCAAAACAACCGGGGGTGTTTGAAATCCAGGGCGCCCATGCACAAGTAGTGTAACAGCGCCTTGCGTTGGCAAAGCTAAGGTACGACAGGAATGGCGAATCTATGCGGAACCGAGTGACGGAAGATTTTGGCGGACAAAGAGCGTGTCACCGATGAGTTTTCTCTTGCTTTTTATGAATGCAATGGCTATATCTGATTGGTGTACCTGAAGCCACGAAAGAAGCTCGGCATAAGTATGTCACCTGCTCCAAGGCTTCCACACTTCCAACTGAAAACTGTCACACGTGGCTTACAAGAGTCCGATCCCTGGGATTGGATCAGGGCCATGATGAGTTAGCACTGGATTGCGACGAAGAGCATGTGTGCCTTGTGCCATGGTGTTCACAGAAATCCCCTTAAAATGTGCTTAATTCGGAGGGCCCTAGCCGCATACTTGTGCCCGGAGGCCTGTGCACAATAAGGCTTCCAGAGCGACCCAAGCAACGCAGCACACCCGAAGACAAACGGAGAAAGTACAAAAGAGGCGGCCGAGCGAACCAGCACAACCGGAGACAACGGAGGTCAGTGTTAGGTTGGGAAACTAAAACCTTTGGTTCGGAAACTGCAAGCGGCATCATCTCCGAAGCACATTCAAACAAAGGTTTTCACCCCCCCACCACCCCCCCCAGCCCATAAACCTGGCACAAATAGTGTCTGAAGCCGACAGAATCCGTTTCTCAGCCCACCAGAAATAGGCTCCTGAACCCGCCCAGTTTCTGAACCCGTGGTTTTCATTTCTGAACCCTAGTTTCTCAACCCGAGCCAGTTTCTGAACTTGACTTTGTTCGACAGGGGAAGACAAGCGGAGAAACCCTGGGACCAGCACACGCCCCCTTTCAAAGGAGTAAGAACTCCTCACAGGAGAAAATGTTTGGGCCATAAAGAAAAAGAAGAAGCAAAACACAGTCCTCTTCGTCAAGAATCACTGGGGAAGAGCTCTGAAATAAGGCCAGCAAAAGTAGGATGTCACTTAGTCAAGCACGCTAGTGTGCTTGGCGGACATCGCCAATGTCTTGTCACCCTTTTTGGCTCCATAGACCACAACGGCCGCCTCCTGTCATCAGCACTGCCCTATGATCCCTGTGTTTTCAGGCTCCAGTGAGGGTCAAAGCCTGTTCGTTGGCAGCCTGTTTTTGCAAATCGAGTTTTGGATGCAAATGCTGCTCACCGCGTCAAATATCCGAACCTCCTTCTTGCGCATCTGAGCTCTTCTGCTCGGGGGTTCCTTGACGACTGTTTCCTGCAATCATGATGGCTCATTTTTCTGCATCGTGTGAAGGCTTGTCAAAGAACTCAAGAACAGGTTCCAGAATAATTCAGCGCAAGAAGCAAGATTTGCAGCTCAAAATGCTTTTTTGATGGAGCTTGAGAAGGGTTAATGCTTAACAAACATCACTGAAACCATCCAGACAAAGGGAAAAATCAAGAAGCTCGGTTAACCGATGATTCAACGACAAAGAACCACACATGTGCATCGGATTCCGCAGTGCCTTCTTGATTCTCTTCTTGCCGGCTTCCCCCAGAGGGCTTTCTAGGACACCAGGAACACTGAAGTCCTGGCAGTCAATGCCAGTTCTTTTTTCAGAAACCAACGACACAAAAACTGCAGTGAAGAGGGTTGGTCTGTTAAAATGAAAAAGGGACGAGACATATACCAAGTAGAACAGTCAAACCTTGTTTGGAGCTAGCTAGTTCGCTTGCTTGAAATGCATTGGCTGGTGTACATGAACCAAACTTATCCATTCTGCCTTTCGGAAGCAACCGTTGGCGCCTCGGGGAGGCTGACCCGAGGCGTTTGATCGCAACGACTCCTAGTCGCTCCTCAGGGTCCATGACCTTCATGGGCATTCCGATCCTGGTCTCAACCTGGTCAGATGCCAAATCCACCCCGGTCCACTCCGCTGCCCAAGTTGGCCTTTTTATTGTCCTTTCCTCTCCATTTTTTGGCCTGCTCTTACTCAGCTAAGTAGGCGGCTACTTGATCAAGTAAGCTTCTATTCAGAAATTTATGTGGTTCCTAGATGTTTAGGGAAACTGAACTTTTCAGAGGATATACATGTCCTTTGTTCTTTACACCTGCAACCTTTTCTTAAGTGTTCTTGTTTTCTTTTTGTTCTTTCTTCAGCCTCAAAAAGCTACAGCAAGTAGCTAGTACTCCACACTGAGGTCTTCAAACAACAGGCCCTCCTTCTCAAAATGGTAGCAAGAACCCTCCCTAAGAGCCGTCCTCAACTCACCCGCAAGGCCCGCAACGGCTGCGCCTTCTTGATCAAATCAGGCTCGTCGTACCAAATGCAACAACCACCCTCGTCGATAATCCAGTTTGCATCATCCCGAGGCCTGCCAAAACATCGGGACAAGCAGCAATGTCGCAAACAAATCATGTTGCATTCAGATCTGCAGCTATAGCGGTGATTGTTTGACACAGTTGCACAAAACTTGCAGTTGATATTGTAGCAGCTGTCGTGGAATGGGGCTCCTCTCCCTCAAACGTGTCTATAAGTCCCATTCCAATCACACAAAAACATGAAATGAAATCCAATGGATGAAGAGGCATTCTATGGAGGGTGAAGGGGATGTGAATTTGCCACTTATGAGAATTGGGTCACCAGGTCCATCATAAATACGCGCGTGTTCACATTTCGCAATATTTCATGTCGCACAACCGCCTTAGCTTCTGATCAGGACCAAAAGGGATTGTCAACTTCGTGTTGCCCGGCCATGGCTTACAGTCCTGAGAGCCAAGGCCCGACAGAACCAAGGCTAGACCAAGCAAAGCTTTTGTCACACACTTGTACTAGAAGGACAAGAGTAAATGCTGTCCTTGCCCCGTGAAGGGCACTTGTGGTACCAGACCTTCTCTTTCTCTGTGGCAACCTGAATGGCAAGGGCACAGCCTCCAAATCAGAAGCCTTCAAGGTGAACCTCAGTCCCCTTCTGGCAAAACATTCTTGAGGTTCTCACTACTCTACGCATTTCTTCCAATTCGGCTGTGTAGAGCGCTGGAGAAGAGTTTATGTGCTCATGTCAATGTTCCTCAAGCTTTTTTCATCACTATAGGTTGGAGGCCATCGCTAGGTGTCGGCCCGAGCTCCTACCAGCAGGTACACCCGTGCAGGCCAAAGGCACGGGAGGGAATGTTTGACCCTGAGCCATGGATCGAAAGCGAGCCTGATGGTGGGACGATCACCATTTCAGGCAAAGCCTGGTTCTACGACCACCAAAGGTCCGCCTTTCATTGCACATCGTTGATGAAAGGCCAACGGTTTCTACTAGCTGGAGTGAAGCTCACTGGAGATCGTTTCTCGGTCATTGCCGCCTCCAAAAGGACCCAAGACGGACTTCAAGTTCTGGAAGCACAACCTTCCTCGATCCAGATCCATGCCATAGCAGATAGCTCGACTGCAACAGAAGTCATTGACATCTGCTCTGGATATGCCATCATGACAGCTGGATATAAATACCTCAATTGTCGGGTCCGTTGCCACGTGGAGATCAACCCGACCTATGCAGGATGGTTGAAGGCAAAGCGAGAGCCGGTCATCCAAGGTGACATCAGCAGCCCCCAGGTCTTGCAAG